GCAGCGCAAGAGGCTGTCTTACGGCGCCTTTGGGATCGTGCCAAGGATGTCCGTGAGGGCCGCCGTCAGGAGCCGCAGGCTCTTGAGACAGGCGGCCAAACTGCCGCAGTACAGGTCGTGAAGGGTGCTGTGGTTGAAGACTCCTACGCTAGGGTCCAGAAGAAGCAGAACCAGATCCCTTTGCGAGCAGATCTTATTGCGGAGCCCTCAGATGATCGCGTAGTGATCATGCTGGAGGCGCTCCCACGTTCCGAAGCAGAGTTTTACAGCAGCGAGAGCAATTGTATCGAGACGGCTGGCAAAGCAAGGCAGCTTCAAGATGAGATTGAAGAGCAGTTTGCGTTTGTGGGAGGCACCTACGTTGAGTATTGCAAATATTTCCACAGAAGCGACTTACCTAGCAACATGTGGGCCTGGAGGCGTTTTTCCGAAACCAAGGCGGTTGCAGGTTTTTCGTGCGTGCCTAAGAAAGACGGTTTCTCACAACGCAAGCTTTTGATGTGTTGCTCCTTCAATTTCTTGCTGTCGGAGGTGGAGCCAAGGTCCAGGTTAGGCATGACTGGGGCCGGGGCTCTTGCCAGAGCTCACCTCGCGAAGCCCGGGGTGAAGGCGGCAGTTTGTGATCAATCGAATGCCTTCACGAGCGTGCTGGTGCCTGATTGGATGATACCGTACCAGGCAGTGCCTCCGATTCCGGCGGGCGATGTCTGGGAGCTTCTTCCTCAGCAGCTCCGTGACGGGCTACTGGTGTCCGATTGGGTCTGTCCATGCTACATGCGGTTGCCTATGGGTTGCAGTCATTCGGTGCACATTCTGATGAGTATCAACCTGCGCATTATCGGCATGACTTTGGCCTCGAGCAAGCTGTTGTCCCGTCCCCCTGCCTCAGGTCTCATCTTCAAGGACGACGATGTGGTCGAGAACAGGCCGCTGGAAGCCCATTTCGGTTGCTCGGACTCAGAGTGGTGGGAGCGCTTTTCTTTGCGAGGTGCCAACCGCAGGGAGTCTGGATTTTCCGTGGATGAGTGGTGGTCTGCAGTTCGCAAGGCTCGTCGGTCTCCGCAGCGAGTTTTTGTCATTATGCATCTTTTCGGAGGGGAGCGTCGTGCAGAAGATGTTCATTCCTTTGTCGAAAAGTACGCAGACGAAGCGGGGGTCACAGTATTGATGGCTACGGTTGACCTTGCCACCGACTTTCGGTGGGACCTTGCACGTGAAGACACCCAACACGAGTTGCTGGGCATGATGTCAGGTTTTGTTGACCTCCTGCTGCTGGGCCCGCCATGCTCTACCGTTTCCAGGGCAAGGCACTCGACCAATGACAAGGGGATCAGACCTGTTAGGTTTCGTGATTGCTTCTGGGGCAGGTCGGACCTGAAAGTTCACGAACGGGCCAGAGTTGAAGAGGCGAATGTCCTGTACAAGCACAGCATGGCTCTTTGTGATCGTGTATCGCTCTACGGCGGAGGTTTCCTTTGGGAGCATCCGAAAGATCCAGGCTGTGCTCCTTTTCCCTCGATTTTTGCTACACGTGAGTTCGGGGAGCTTTTGGGGCGCACCGGTGCATACACAGTATCCTTTGATCAGTGCGCGCTGGGGGGCCCCACGAGAAAACCAACAACTTTGGCAGGAAATTTTGCTGGCCTCGATGCTTTTGCTCAGTGTGTGTGCCCTGGCCTCAGCTCGGTACATCAGCACGAAAGTTCAATGGGTTTCGACTCTGAGGGCCACTTCCTCACAAGACGGCTGCAAACCTACCCCCCAGGAATGTGCAAGCTCATCGCGCGTGGGATTATCAGCACATGTGTTGAGTGGCAGGCCTCGGGAGAGGGGCCCACGGGCTTCTTTGCAAGGGGCCCAAAAGCTCCTTTGGCTCCATGGTCGGTGGAGCCCTCAGATACAACACGAGGAGTCAAGATTTTGAACGAAGCTGTTGAGGATCACGTTCGGGTGGTTTTGGGGGATGAGCAGCTGGGCCTTTATTTGCATGTGGATGATACATTGCTTTTGGGAGTAGGGGAGTGTGCCGAGATAGTGAGCCCGTTGATGGAAGAGATTGCTGACAACATGGAGGCCACGGGGTTTAAAGTTCCAGATCGGCGTGCAGGCAATGAGATTTCTAAAGTGGTAGGCTATGAGATTGATGCGCAGAAGGGGAGCTTTGCCCTTCCGAGAAGGAGGGCCTGTTTGCTACAGGCCGCGCTCCTCGAGCAAGCCAATGCCCGTTATGTTTGTGTCGAACTGCTCAGGGCTCTGGTCGGGATCTGGAGTTTCGGCGCTCAGCTCAGAAGGGAGTTATACTCTATCCCCTTTTCGGTGTACCACATGATCGATGTGTGCGAGGGCCAGTTTGTGAAACTTTGGCCGTCGGTGAGGCGAGAGCTCGTCTTCATGGCAAGGGCGATTGATTTTATGATGTTGCAGGCTGCGGACCCAGTCAGCGATGTGGTGTTCGCCACAGATGCCATGGGAGCCGATGACGTCGATTGTGGTGGTTATGGGATCTGCATGACTAAGGCTACACCAGAGGAGTTCAAGGCTCTGATGTGGGCTGGTGAAGAGCCGGGCTTTTCACTGTCGGAGCATGACCGAGGTCTGAGGGGCTTACAAAAACCTTCAGAAAGAATCAGGCTTACTCGGCCATTTTCTCGATTGCCCCGGTCGCTTTTCGACGACAGTAGATGGGTTGAGTTGCAAGCGGGACGTTGGCGAGCAGCTGACCACATCACCATTGGGGAAGCCAGAGCGGTTACTAAATGTTTTGAGCTGGCTTGCCAAAATCCAGCTGCGCACAATCATGTCTTCTACGCTTTGCAAGACAACCGTCCCTGTGCAAGTGCGATGACCAAAGGAAGATCCTCATCTTGGGGTTTAAATTTCTACCTGAGGAGGAGAGCTGCGCTTGGCATTGCATGTGGCATGCGCTTCATCTTCTCGTGGTGCCAGTCTGCTTTGATGCCGGCGGACCGGGCCTCAAGACGCCGCGCGGTGTAGCAGCCGTAGGGCCCTGGGGGGGGCTCGGGCATGCACCACTTTCGGCCCGATAGGCTCGATCCGCTTCATGTGAACACGGTGCAAAGCAGTACATTCGGGCGCTACCAGAGGGCGGTTGAGGGTTTTGAGTTTTTCTTGCTTCGCAACGACGCGGCTCCTTCTTCAGCTGCTGAACTTGACGAGTGGCTCGTGCTTTATCGGCGGGAGGCCTCGCTGACGCGCTCTCAGTTCGAGGTTGCCCTGGCGGGGATTCAGTTCTTCGCACCGAGCTTACGAGGGCACTTGCCGCTGTCAAAGAAGGTGATCAAAGGTCTGGCGATTGAGTATCCCTCCAAGCATGCTTTCCCTATGCTGTCTTCTTCGGCTAAGTTCATTGCGACAAAGATGGCAGCTGAGGGTGAACACCGGTTGGCAGTTTGTATGCTGCTTCAACAGGCGACAGGTCTCAGGCCATCGGAGATGTTGGGCTTGCGAGAGCACGATGTTCTTAGACCCAGTGATCTTGTGCCTCGCTATGTCCTGCGTCTGGGCACTTGCGTGGGCACCAAGGTGGGGCGTGAACAGACCACGTTCTTTGACCCAGATCAGGACCCCATGCTCGCAATGTTGCTGTTTAGATTGCTTCGCTCGACGCCTGAGCAGAGTTCGTTGGCAGCTTGCGGCTATGATCATTATCGGAGGGTGCTTGCTCGCCTCAGTGCTTTGTTGGGCGTGCATTACTCTCCTCACTCGTGCAGGGCAGGCTTCGCCACGGAGGCCATCCTCAGAGGGGACACGCCGCAGCTTGTTCAAAGGCGCGGGCGCTGGGCTTCCGAAGCAAGTTTCCTTGTGTACATTGACGTGGCCACGGCTCTGCAAGTGGAGGCTGAGTTTCGCAGCAGGGCCCTGGACACGGCCATTGCCACAGCCGGTCGTGATCTTATGGCCTTTTTTCCCAAGGGTTGCTTCTCAGGTCGTGCGGATGGGCCTCCCAGTCACCGTGGAGATCGGCGACGCTTCGGAGGAAGAGACTTTCGAGCAGCTGCACAACNNCGACAAGACGTTCCAGAGCCATGACGCCCCCACCGCGGGTCGTGCAGGCCCGCCCCGCCGGGCGACGGCCCAAGATCGACGGCACCTCCGTGCTCTCTCGAGAAGCTCGCGCTCGTCTTGGCTCGGTCGGTGGTTCGGCTGTTGCGGGCGGCGCCGGCCTGAGTGAGGGCTCAAGAAGGGTGCAGCAGCGCAGGAAGCCCGTCACTTGGTGCAGTTGGCTCTGGAAATCTGGTGGTAAAGCTTTGAAGCGGATGCGAGCGCTGTTTCTTTGGTGCTGTGTGGCCTACGTACTGGCAGCGGGGCCTCTGCGTGAGATGCTTGCGCCTATCCAACGCCTGTTGGCGTCCACTGCGAGCGTTGGAGAGAGTGCGGCTGGGGCACTCTCGTCCATCCTGGATGGTGGCACTCAGTTGGTGACGGCCTCTACGAGTGCAGTCCGTTCAGCTTCTTTCAACACCTTGGGTGTGGCGCATGCCGCTTGGATTGGTGTGGACCTTGTGGATATGAACGCCACCAAGATTGTCGGGCGCGTGATGGGCGCCGACGCGGCGGCCATTGAGCAGTGGTTGTTTTCGGAGAGTGGCCGTGAAGTTCTTAAAGGCCCTGCGGAGGAGGCTCTTCTCTTCTGGCAGGGTCTGCTGCATTCTCAGGCTTTTCGCCTGCCGGTGGTTGCTGCAGAGACCGAGGCCCTGGTGGCGTCAGGTGACTACTGGGTGGCCTCTGGGGTCGTGTCGTACGCCTCTTCAGGCCTTGTCGTCTTCGAGTTTCGCCTTCTACGCATGGCTTTCTCGCCTCGCTGGGCCAACCCCGTGTGGCAACTGGCAGGTTGGAATGCGGCGAATGAATATGAACAAGTTCTTCGCATCGCTCGCGACTTTGCCATCACCGTGCCCGCCGTTAACAGTACATGGGATCATATTTTGGCCCCCCCGCCCTCCGCTACCTTTTGGGGCGCTCTGCTCGGTTTGCTTCGCCGCGCTTGCTTCGCTGTGCTGGCGCCGCTCCGCTCTTGGTGGCGCTTTTTCGCGTCCATGTGGGCGTATGGGACCATGCATCCGCTGGCATTGGGTATAATGGCTTTGGGGTTTGCAGGTCTAGGGCGCTGCCTGTGGAGTTATGCGCGCTGCGTGGGCCTGCCAGCCGGGAGGCACAACGACTGGGCTCGCTTTACAGAGCTTGTGGTGCTCCTGCGCGGCTGGGCAGTGGTACACCGTGGCCCTCTCACGCTGGCTAACCGAGGTTGAGCATCCAGAGGAGGTACGGGTTTTCTTTCGGCAGCTCTGTGCAGCCAATCGTTCCATCGAAGCTGGGTGGAGCTCTAGGGCTGCGCTGGAGAACTGCCTCCGCCATCTCGTCAAAATGACGGCGATGGCCTATCTATGCCAAATGTGCCAGGCGGGATCGCCTTTCAGGATTTCTTATGCTGGCTCTCAGCAAAACAGCGTATTGCATGGTCGAGTGAGTTGCTCGTCACGCACTTCTGCAAGCACGCATCATGGGCTGGGAACTCGCTGCCGTCTTCATGCTTTTGCGGACGCTCTGAGCATTA